CAGAGTTAGTGAATTTAACTCAGAGTTAACCTTAACTCAGGGTTAAAGTTAATCCACGACTGTGGAACCGGGTCCAGGAATGTAACGAATACAATGTAATACTGTTGTTATATTAGGTGCGTTCACACTGGTGTGAATTAGCGGGCTGCAAAACCCGGTTTTTGCAGCCCGCTCGAAAAACTGAGCTTTTTACAAGTGTGAACGCAATTAGCTCACTAAATCGCGCTCGAAATAGTGCGCTCCAAAGACCACTTCAGACTGCGCTAATTTGGAATCAGCGCGCTTATTTGCACCGCGGCGTGATATTTGCACCGCGGCGATTAGCGAGATATTCGCCTGTGTGAACAACGACACAATTAGCTCACTATTATCTCCGCTATTAGCGGGTGAGCAGCGCAGTTTTTCTTGTGTGTGAACGCGCCTATTTACTGGTGCTGCTTGTGGTGTTTACCACCTGCCACGGTAACGGTCTGCGCCATATTGAGGAGTCTCTGTGTTGGATATTGAGGTTGGATATAGATAATATAATAATATGGTTATCTATATTATTTCTATGGGACGGTGGTGGTCTGACGTCACACTGACGTACACTGACGTCACGCAATCAGTCAGGTTCATGGAAACATATATCCACCAATATGGTGCCATAACTCTAATCATAAAACCCAGGGACGAAACTATTACAATATAATTATTTTACTATACTTGTTGGTCCTGCTTTGCTGGCATACACGTACCCTGGGTTTTCTATACTCACCCTAGTATGTTAGCAGATGATGTCCTTAGCCCAGTCTACAATTGCCTATTTACAGTTTATCGTGTGATTATATAGGAAGTGTCCTGACATAGCTTACTTACCATGTCCATGTTGGTCTTGCATGAGCGCCACTGAAAACATCTACTCTGCATCGTCTGAATTGTTGCAGCTATCAAGGGCGAGCCCCAGAATCCAGGACTGTTGTGGGAACGATGCAAGTGCTATGAAGCCCTGCATGAACAAAAGAGAGCATTGGAAGGTTACCTTGTGATCCTGAATTTACTAGAGCCATCTGATGGAGATAAATTCATGCATCTATCCAAAGACATTGCAAGGGTATGTAGATTTCTATTTCTATTTAAAGACATTGTAAATGTCTAAGGACATTATTTGTATATACAAAACACATTTGAATTCTGTTCGTTTGGTTCTCTCATATGGTTTTTATATATTATATTGAATGTTCATGTTCCAAACTATATATTTACATTAATAAAAATTTAAAGTTATTTATACATTTTATATCACAGATGTAGATACATATTTTACTAGTTATACACACTATTGGGTCATGTGAAATTTATTTGAATAAATTATAATATAAATGAGTCGCATATGATTTCATAACACTATCTAACCATGTCAGCTCAACCTACATGTAAAACTTGCTGTCTGGGTAAATGAGGGTGATTCACCTTGTTATCCATTGTAGGCATACGAGTGCACCCTGCCATGTGTAGTCAGTCGGGTTTCCTTTCTCAATTATTTAATTAAAATGAGTACTTTACGAAAATAATCCAACTGTTACTTTAAATATTGAAAGTGAGCAGAAATAAGTTGAAACACTAACAAGCTATTGTATAAAATCTAATTGCAATAATGAACACTTACATAACAAGTCGGGTGTTGTGTGTACAAAAAATCTGTTTGCATGTAATTATCTATATTTGTGTAAAAATTCACAGGTTCATTCACAGGTTTCACAGGTTCAAGATTTGTACATTTCACCTATCAACATATTAGCCAGCGAGCCGTGCAGCCGTGATTTGCACGGTCAGTTTTGAAACTGTACGGCCAAAAATGTGTAGCACGGCCTAAAATTTTGATCTAAAGCCGTGTACATTTGTAAAATTGCACTCCCAAATAATTTTTTTGCGCTCCCACGATACTCATTCCTGGCTAATACCCTGTCACCTATTCTACTTTGTTCACAGATTCAGCATGAGAGTGGTGATGTTCTACTGGCAATCGCTACTATGGAAGCTGCCTTTCAGGCTCATCCACTTTCTATAACCTCTGAAGGTTAGCTTATCATCATTAGTTTTATCAATGGTTATTATTAACTTTTGTTATCATGTATCCGTTTTTGATTGGTCAGTTTGTTCTGTACAATGTTTGGCTCTGTGATAATGCCGTGGTTTCCTTCAGTGTCTGTTGCTTTGTTTATTACTAAAAGAACAAAAGCTATGTCGTTTAGATTTGGGATATAGGTTCACACTGACGCACATTTTTACTGAGATGCGATGATTAATTATACCATAAAATATCTGCTTTTTGGAAACGTCTTTTGCAAGGTGCTACTTCTAAAACCAAACTGACGTTAGATTAATTTGTGACCCTGCTGTTTTTGAACTGGGGACTTTCCTTCGTTTCATTTTGTTTTTCATTGTTTCACAATGATCTGGTTTGTGTGTCGGATGAGCGAATTGTTTCTTCTTCCCGGTGTAGATATAAATCTTGCTCTGGAGCTGTACATCTCTCAGAAGCAGTTTCACAGTTCCCTGGACCTCATCTGCCGACACTGCGGGGTGAAGATCTTGTATAAGGTGCATGACGAGAAAGCACCAGCAACAGACAGGCAAGAGACTTGCTCACTAGGAACCTAACTCTAAGCTTGCTTTATGTACTTGTCATGATAATCGTTGATGCACACAATTGAACCTGCAGTGCTGCTCTCTATAGTGGCCATGACAGGGAATAAAGTTTTAAGTAAATTAATTATTACTAATAACACATTTTGTGTGTAACATTACTGACTCTCCCAGGGTACTGCCGGAACGCACCCTGGGTATGGTCCGCTATACCGGAACCTACCCTGGTAACTATCTGATATGGTTAGGGTTAGGGTTAGAGAGTAGGCATAGGCGACTCCCTAGACTCGTTAGTGGAGTAGGCGAGGTACGGTCCGGCATATTAGATAGTACCAGGGTACGTTCCGGTATACCGGACCGTATCTAGGGTACGTTCCGGCAGTACCCTGGGGGACATAGACCCTGTCAGCATTACTGACATTATGTTAAATGATATGAATTAATTCATGATTTGAATGATTAATTAGTATTTGAATCATATGAATTAAATTTACCTTGGTTGTTGTGATTAACTTCAAAATCTTGCTCCATTGTCTTTTTAGATATAATATTCCTGATGCCTTGCCGATAGACCTGAGGATTAAACTTGTTGTGTGCCTGATTCACCTCAGTTATAATATAGCGCAGGTTTGTCACTGTTTATCTTCATTTATGTCCATCTGTCACATGGAATCTTAAATGTTTATAATTTAAATTGAGTATCATTAAAAACAGGAATCCACTGTCATCTTTTATTATTTTATTAATTATATGCTTTAATTCAATTTACATGTTGTGCATTTTGCAGATGATCGTTCAGCCATTATTCCAAGAATCGCCAGAAGATATGGGCGATCTGTGTCTTGATGTAGCAGAGGCTTACATGGAGGTCGGCTCATACCAGGATGCGTTACCCATCCTTTCCACTCTCGTCAACTCGCACAGCTACAATCTGGTAATTAATGTGTTGCCACGTAGCTTTTCTTAGAACTTCTCTCTGTAATAGAGCTAGAGATGCACACATTTGCAATGCAGAGTTACTGGCATTGGAAATGATTACACAAAGTGTGTCAATGCACATGGAAAATCTGCATCGAGGAAATTTCGCGCACTAGTGCTTTCGCAATGCACAAGGTACGAATAATTTTATCACGAATTCCTACAGGCGGCTGTCTGGCTGCGTTACGGCGAGTGTCTGAATGCACTGGGGCAGATGCAGAATGCAGTGCAGGCCTACAGACAGGTAGTGGACCTAGCTCCCTCTCACATGTCTGCCAGAATGACACTGTCCTCCCTGCAGCAGCAGCTGGGAAGACACGACGAAGCTTTGCTGGCTCTCACACACGGTATGCTCCGAAATTCGTTGTGAATCTATCAAAGAGAATTATAGGTAGGCAGTAAAGTAATTCTGCAAGAGAGGATTATGGGTAGCTCATAATGAATCTACCAAACAGAATTATGGGTACCTGATAGGAAATCTACCAGACAGAGTTTTTGGGTGCTGATAATGAATCTATCAGACAGAATTATGGATACCTGATAATGGACCTACCAGGCGTGTGGGATGCTAATAATAAATCTACCAGCAAGGACGTTTGGTGGGTGATTGCTCATAGACATTACGTCTGCCTGTAGTTGAGCATGATGCCAGCGGTGAGGCTGTGGCTCCAGACCTGGCTCTGCTGCTGCAACGCTGCAACCTGCTCTACTCTCAGGCCAAGTGGCAAGAGTTTGTTCGCTGCAGCAAACATGCGCTGTCCAGTCAGTTCAAGGACGTCGTCCGGCCATCATATCTTGGCGGTAGGTAGTGAAATCACTAGTGCTGAGGAGACCATATGCTTTGTGACCTTTGTATTAACTTTTTTATGAAAATTATGCAGGTAATCAATCCCTACAGTTAATTAAATAATAGTGCTCTATATCCAATGATCTTCCTATGCCAGTCTACGTACAGTATTGGTACATCTACAGAACTCATAGATCTGCATTATAATGTTAAGCTGAGAGCCACATTTTAAATTACAGGTCATTTTACAGGCTACTAGACGTATTTACTGCTTCATATGATTTTGATGATGATAATATGACATGGCTCCAAATGGTTCTAATGGCATTTCTTGGTTTTGCTAGTGATCATTAAGAATAGGAGCTTAAGGCACAGAAAGGAAGCACTGCGATACTTAGGGTGCAACATGGAGTCGACATCAGAAGGTACGCACAAGCAAAACAAATTTTTTACAATGACGGTGTTGTATTTCTAAAGTAAAGACGGAAGAGCTGACGTGTAATATATATAATCTGAACAAAAGATTTATTCCACCACCACAGTCCAGCCTGCCACGTTGTAGAAATGCCACTGGCTTCAGGAAGTACATGGCAGCACCTATTGGACCTGTAATGTCTCATGTTACAATTATCTCACAGACGGTCTTTGTTGTTTGTGTTGTATGCGCGTGAACAGTATTGTAATTGTATGAATTGTCTTGTCATTACTTCAGTGTTATGTACCTACTATTACCTTACACTATTGGTGTAACAGTGCGGCGCGTAGTGCGGCGCGTAGTAGCTTTTTCAAGATATTGTGTTTTTAGCTGTAGTGATACTGTATGGTACAGGCTTGTGTGAATTTTACTATTACAGGCTTGTTCACTAATGAAAAGTCGGCCTCCCCTGACGACATGTGGGATTTGTATTGCAGGGTGAGTGTATGCAGTGATGTGAAGAGATGTGGCAATTCTTCACATATACAAAACTCGTGTACTCTGCCCCATATAATTCTACTTCAATTTAGTTTGTAACTTGTTTAATCAATGATATTCCACCTTATAGCTTGACAAACATTATATACCTATAAACATTTATCACCTATTCCTCGTACCGCCTCTGTTAATTTCGTAACAATGAGTTATTTCTCATCTATTCACCCTGTCATTCTATTACTTTAGTTGGTGTAACAACGCTTGTTCTTCACCGGTTACAGGTCTGTCACAAGATGCATGAATTGGGGAAACATGCAGAGCTGGAGACGTTTACTATTGCAGCTCTCACTTCATCACAGTTCATGAACGACCCAGACAAAGCCAAGGTGTGCAATTCTCCTGTACGAGCTTCAGTGGCCTTCAGTAGATTGCTAATAGAGTGCTGGTTATGATTATTTATACGGTATTAGTAGTATTACAGTTGTTCTATATTTCAGGAGGCAGAGTTTATGTGCCTGATGGCATGTTATATGAACAAGAACTTTGAGTTTGCATATAATATCATCAAGGAAATCTGTGTCAAGGTATTGTTAGATGTTTGGAATGTGCACATTTCTCACTTGTACTTGTACCTCAATATAGTCAGTGAAATACCTTTTTTTCTGTATTCACTTATAAATTATAATTGGACACAACATCTTTTGTTATTTAAATGGTCGATTATATTTGCAATGGAATAGGTCTTTCCTCTCTAATTTCACTTTGTGCGAGAAACGCTTCTAATGTCAATGTGAACATTGAAATGATTAGCTTTCATGTGATGTTCATACGAGAAAGTTCTCGTCATTCCTCACTCTCTGCCATTCCTTCTGTTGCGTTGTAGGAGATGAAGAATAATTCTGCGTGGAACCTACTATGTCAGATCATCACCTGGTCGGACGACATTCGACACAACCGCTTCTGCATGCGTCTGCTTATGAAGCAACCCGACCATCTGCCTCTAGAAATGCTCAATGGACACAACTCTGTTGTCGCAGGCAGCTATAAGCATTCGCTCGGTAGGTTGTCTATCTATAAGGAGCAATAATTGATAAGCAAGCCATATCGTCGGGTACGTGCCGTAGCAGCATGGTGTCAGTTGGCTTCGTGTGATTGCTAAGTAAGCTTTCTGTCGGAGGATTTGTCAGGTAGCAATAGTGTCGGTTAGCTTCAGGCATTCACTAGGTAAGCCTTTCATAAAGGGTGTGCATCGCATAACAGCATATCACTCAGCTGTAAGCATTTACTGTTTAGGGCTTAATTACTTCAGGGGATGTGCTTGATGGAAAAAAACAATGTGGAATAGTTATACTTGAAGTGATTAGCATGATTAATTACAATGGAAAACCAAACTTTGAACATGTTGCAGGTGAGTATGTTGCTGCTTTTAGACAAGCTCCGAAGGACCCACTCATAAGTCTTTGCATTGGGCTCACGTTTTTCCATCTGGCTTCGCAGAAATTTTCCTCAAAGAGACATTCTCTCGTTGTTCAGGTTAGTGATGTGTCTGAGTGCGTGCTTGCGTGCGTTCATGCTTCTGAGCACACGTGTGTTGGGTGTTAATGTGATAGTGTAGCTTGGTAATCCTCATAAGTATGGTGATACTAGTTGCTAAATTTGAGAACGATCAGCTTGATTTTAGCACTTGCAGGTAATAGTACTAAGTACGATTTATTACTTTCATTTGTAGTCTTATGATATTGTTTTAGAATTATGATTGCACAATTGTGGCTAAACTAATAAATAAATCGGGGAATAAATAATATGTTCTCCATGGGTAATAATAAAACTTTAAAACCTTAACAAACAGTTATAATTCATGTGATATGTATCATAATGTCTTTCAATCCATATTTCTCCTACAGGGTTGTTCATTCTTGAATCAGTATGTCGAGCTACGGGGCGAGTGTCAGGAGACTTTCTACAATCTGGGTAGAGCCATGCACCAGCTCGGTACTTGCATTATATGTATATCTATATGTAGTCTCAGCCCTCGACACTAACGGTTGTCCGATTGCCCGGGACAAGTGAAAGTCTATGTCGGACAAGTTATTCTCTTGCCTAGTTGCCCGATCGGACAACTGAAAAGTTCTAGTTATTTAATATTCCTAACATCCTCTGACCCAGGGCGCTATCGCACTACATTCTCACTTCAAACGTTTTAAAAGGTCCTTGAAAAAAGCAGCCCGCAAAGTTAAATCTTTCCCGCGCCTATGTATAGGCGCATAGGGCGGTGCCTATCTCCGTTTCCGTAACCCTGAGGCCCTGCATGCAGCTGCTTTCACAGTAAATGCTACAGTAGGGGGTTAGTCCACTGGTAGCACTGCGAGTTAACTTGCCACACCGGGTGTCATTACCGCAATTACATGTTAGATTTACATCTGATCACATGAGGTACTTAATTAATCCTCATTAGTCTCACGTGACGATGTAATAAGTAATAGTAATATGAAGTAATAGGTCTTCCATCGATACCTCGTGATGTTAGGGCAAGGCCCGCAACGTCATGCCGTAAAACAACTCCCTTTATGCAGAAACCAAATCGTCAGCGTATATATGCGCCAGATCCTAATACTATACCAGGAGCGAGAAGGAAATATGATTTGATGAAATATAATATGATAAATAACATTATTCATATTATTTGCATTACATACCTGGCTCTTTCAAGCGTCCATAGCCACGTCTCTGGGAAGAAGGTTCTTATGTCAGGCGTAGATGGCGCTTCTTGTGGGTCTTCAATAAACTCGTCTTTGGTTGTGGTAAATGAGCTGGACGTGGTAAATGAGCTGGTCGTGGGAAATGCGGTGCCCGTCGCAAAAGTAGGTTGCGGTGCAAAGCTAGTACGTCTATTAGACTCGAATCCTCCAAAAGATGTCGCAGTTAGCTGAGGACCTACAGAACAAACAAATGGAAAAGTATATTCTGGATTAATTACAGCCTCAAACGTTATTGAAATGACTGATTTAATGATATTATCAAGTGAAATCTCATTTAAATGTTTCCGATATTTTCTCACAAACACTTCGTCACATGTTGTCTATATGCTATATATACCGAAACGACGTAGGTAGATAAAGCGTGGCTCAGGCTTGCACGGTCTCGCATCAACGTTCATGTCTGACATGACCAATAATCCCAGATCCTGTGTAACAAAAAAAAGCGAGAGTAAATAGCAGTGACAGAATGACCGTGAATATAAACATTATATCGAGCAAATAATGTTCATTTGACCCGAGTTACTTGAGCATTAATGAAAGTAAAACAATGATAATTTATTAAGAAATGTAGCAAGCAAATATTTGCATATTTGTGTCATGAATTTGATGTTATTGCGCACAAAGTAGTATATTGGGATAAGTAAGGCTTTGGTTAGCAGTGCACGATACGTATTTTTTAACAAGGGATATTATTAGACATGTTTATGATCATAGATATAGTTATCAACATAAATACAATAATTATAGCTGCAGAGAAGACAACACCAGCTGTTGATGTGGAGCACGAACCTGGAATGCCTGCCTTGAGTCCACATAATCAGTGAAAAATTCGGACAAGTAAAAATTGCTTCTTGTTGCCCGACAGGACAACCAGATCTGAAAATAAGCGTCGAGGCCTGAGTCTATACTGGCTCATGCTGTTAGCTTGGTAGTACAGATGTGCAAACAATACAGACTTGTGTTAGAGAAACCTAACCTATAGGCAGCTGCCACCTGAGATTTAGGCAGTGATCTAGCTACAACTGAACTAATCATAGAAATTACATCTAACACATGACTGTAATATATGTATCTTTTTCTAGGTCTGTTATATGCAGCTGTTTACTATTATAAAAGAGCATTAGCAGTTGGGCCAGCCATCAAAGAAGACCATCACCAGGTAACTACACCATTCGATGAAATTATCATTTGATATACATATTATTTATGTATCATGAATTCATGGATCTATTCATATTGTGTGCGTGCGTGCGTGCGTGCGAGCGTGCGTGCGTACGTGCATGCGTTCGTGTGTGTACGTGTGTGTACAAATTATATTAGCTTTTACGAAATTAGTGGTGCTGCACCTGGCTAAAAATAATCATTGTTATTTCAGGAACTGTTTGACCTGAAACGAGAAACTGCATTCAATCTGTCACTTATATACCAGCACAGTGGCAATAATGATCTGGCAAGAATGGTCTTAAATGAACACTGCATCGTTTGACAATATTCAGATCATCAACAATCTCAGGTGTATGATGCAGGTGCCAATTATGTCATCCTCTCACATTGTATCATATTGTGCTTTTTTCTTGTGAAATCATTTACTGTGATTTTGACTTAGAAAGTTAAAATCTGTGTGTTATCCAAAATCAGTGTGTAAGAATAGCAGAGTAAACGTTGCATATATGATATGCATGTCTTATACATTTATACGAAATTGTTAGTCATTTCAAGTCAGAACACCAACACATTTACTGTCTTACGTATTCATGATAAAATACAGTATTACAAGAATGACTAGCCATCAAGTTTTTTAATAAAAATATTTGTATACATATAATTACACGAGTACGTGTCCGTAAAAATACATATATTGTACTGCATGCATAAGGGCAGTACACATTTAGATAATTGTTTATTAATAATTATTTCTTAAAACATTAATTTGTAATGTGAAAACGATGAATAATAATATTAAGATGACGCATGTGTTTTGTGAATCTCTGTGAATACAGCTGATAAGGATATTAGCCAAAAAGCAGTCAGTGGTACGATGTCTACTACGTCAAAGCTTTTCCCAAATAATTGTTAATATTCAAGTAAGTCGATAGCCATTCCTGCTGGTTGGAATTGCTCGCTCAGTTGCTTACTTGCATTCTTCAATGCTGTACAGAGTAGAAGCTGTCTGTTCTGTAATGATAAATAAACGTGGTCAGGTTCTCTGACTGACACTGTTAAATTAAATGTTAAACCTCTAACAGACCAGTATGTGAAAGTATAGTAGGTAGTGACTATGTGGCGCCACCTGTTGTATTTACCTGGCTCATAGTAGTCGTACACCTTCACAACAGCCGACTTCACATTTTCCACGTCTAGATATTTCTCCAGGTCAAAGGTCACGCAAACCTGCTCGCCTGGTTCGAACTGAAATACGGTTATTGGTCTGTAAGAATTTCTTCATGGGGATGCAAAAATACTGGTCTTTTGTACATACCTTATTTGACAGACTACACTACTAAATTACATTACTACATTATTGTTGTATTGTGTCAAATCAGGTTACCTTCGAAAGAAGAGATATATCAATAGTAAAATAAAACCTGAATGATCTCACGATATATTTTTTACCAGATGACGGAAGATTCTTACCTCGTTTACATAGATATCTACAGTCTTGCCTTCAATATCAAAACGCTTCAATTGTGAATTCTTACTGGGCTTCTCAAAAATCTATACAAAACCAAATTGGAAACTTTCAACAATAATACCATGGCTTATTAGTGTAAAGATGCCTGCGTGCTTGCACGTCTGGGTGGCGAGTAAAACTATTGTTACAACAAGTGAAAGAAATGAACTCTTGACAATATAGGTACACAAACAATTTTTTTCACAGCTAGTTAAATTTAACTGTCGTTCTGTTACGCAGCAAATACTATATTTAATTAATAGTTTGTTACCTTATTTAATGATTCCTTCACTGGAGAGAATCCAGTCACCATATTTACACTGATTATCGCCATGTTTGATGATTCCTCCTCACCAGTGTACCTAAAACATAGAAAATATGTGTTTGTATAGTAGAGCAGTTGGTATTGCGCACTGTTTCATGAAATTGCCATGTGTTCACTCTGCAAGTAAGGCAACTGAACTAGGGTGGAATAAGTATAAACTGATTTAGTAAACCCAGTGTAATATCGGCACGCGTACTACGTTCTTCTGTTGCAAGGTTTTGGTTACGTAATTCATCACTAATGAGCTTATTTCTCCTATTTTTAACATAGAATGAACGACTTGGTAATAGGAGGAAGGAACGGGTATATATATATGTGTGCGTGTGCGTGCGTGCGTGCGTGCGTGCGTGCATGCTAGTGTTGTAGGCCTCGAGGCCGGTCTTGGCCTCGAGACCGTTTTCCTTGGTCTCAGTCTCGGTCTTGGCCTCGGAGTGCAATGACTCGGACTCGGATTCGAGGACTCGGGTCGAGGCCGGCTCGAGGCCACTACATACATAGTACACAACTGTACATATTGTAACACGCAGTTTACAAGAATTTAAAACTAAAACTCCTAGGTTTTCTGACTCGGACTCGGGGGGTGCGGACTCGACTACAACACTGGTGCGTGTGTGCGTGCATGTGTATCGTGAGTAGGGAATTAAAGTGGGACATCTATACGGCTGCATTAAACTATAGTCGCTTAGACGAGTACTGTCATGGCGGTTAGAGCGATGTGTACGTACGTTCCGCAGGCTGTCATCTGCCACGTCTTACAGTTGGTCGTCATGACGTTTGCTGTTGCGGAGAACACGGGGACTCTTCTCTGTTCTTCGTACAGGTTGTAGAAGACATTACCCTGCAATTAAAAAACTCAGGCTTGTACCGCTGTCCCGCTGTAATCTGTCCGTCACAAGTTGTTACGTTGGTTATGCATTCAGTCAGCACAACAGCGTTAGAATGGCAAAAAAGTTACATCTTATATGGAAAAGAGCAGTGGCGTAAGGTTTCTGGTGTTAAAGCATGATGCACGATGACAGCAGAGCATCACTGCTACCATTGAAAAGTCGGAGCCGTAACACGTACCCTCGTCGAGTTAGCTCACCTTAATAATAACACATCGTGACCCCGTCACTGTGACGTCTAGCACGCTGGGCACCGAGGGCACGTCGACCAGCTGCTGGACTAGGCTGTTGGTGCCAGATACGCTCACAGCAGCGTCAACGTCGTCACCGCTGACCGTAATGTCGCTGCTACTTTGCGAACCGAAAAACTTCATAGCGAACTGGGAGAGAGCCTGCAGAGCGATTACGGTGTCCTGCGGAGCAATAGTAGAAACAGAATTAGATGAAATGCTAATTATCAATTAGCATTTACGATCCATGACAATGAGAGGTGATCCTTAATTGCATATATGAGTTTACGTTAATCTGTTTCAATCCACGAAATCTAAGGCTAGTTGTGCGGACCATGTCATGAGCTGCATTGCTGCCTGAACGTCGATAGCTCAAGTTGAGTACCTGTGTTGATGTGAAACCACCGCGTGAGTTTTGCTGCTGCGTCAACCACCTGACGATAGAGAGTGGCAGCGTCGAATCATCGCTTTCAATCAGCGTCAGTGTCAGCAGAGCATATGCTGTCATCTCAGTGTTTATCGACTTCTTCTCGGCCTGACGGTTCCATGGCAATCTGTGAATTCACAGACATTGATAGTAGGGGTAACTTACAAACGAGTATAGGAATCCCGAACACTAAAAATTACCACTATACGACGACTATAAAACAATAAATTTTTCTACTTACGTAACGTCGACCGTTTCAGCTTCTGCTTTCTCCCAGTGTACAGTTTGTGCCGTCTCGTTTCGTACAGCCAGCTTCATTAACCTATTGAAACATAATCAGTGATAAAGTTTACAGTGCTATGCGGCTCCTCTAATACAGATCTATTCATGTATAATTTTACAATGTATTCTTCGACTCTGGTAGCAACGTATTAAGAGGAAAGACAGTCGAATGTTCAACTCAGTGTTAAACTTCTGATGTCTCAAAACGATTCATTTATATATAATATTCAATAACGTGAAAGACACCGCACTTATTGGCGATATAGTAGATAATTTCAGTTTTCATTAGTGCAGGTGAACTGATGTACCATCTAAGGTCGCATGTTTTTACCTATCCAAGTATTCCTGAGCTTTGTTCATATCACCGTAGCGGGCGTACGCGTAAGCCACCAGGGCCGTGGTGTAGGCGTCGTCGAAGGTTTCGCCTTCAATGCAGGAGAAGGCATCTGAGATGGCTCGCTCTGTATCAGCAACCTTGGACTCGATCAACGACGTCACAACGTAGGCTGTTAGCGTGTCGGCAGTTGGTCTTTGAATTACCAACGCCCTCCCTGCGAATATGAGGACATCGAACGATGCGTGTGTAATATCTAGCTGTCAAAAGGAAATTATAAATCTTCATACAAAGATCGTAGCGTACCACCCTTGTGGCTCTCTTGTCTCATAGAGAGAAATGTATTTCTTGTCGCGTGTTCTTCTAGATGGCCGTCTTTGAGACAAATGTTTATTTTCCCTTCCTCATTTCTGTCGGCTCTTTAGACCAAATCCGATGTATATCTACATGACTCATAGGACTAACTATTTATGGTATTTCATCAGCTAGATGCCGGGCCTCGCAGAGCTACGTACGTTCATGTCCTTGTGGTGAGTCAACGTCCGAGCCGAGGAAGCAGCAATCTCTACGCTGGCTGGCTTGATGATCCAATGCACATCATGTCGATCTCATTCCATTCAATGTAGATGAATGCGCTGCGCCTGCGCAAAGCAGCGTCACGACGAACGCTGTCAACCACATGCTGGCTTCTTTGTCGGCGGTTACGCGAACGCGCTATAGGCGGCGTCAGTGTGCTTAAACGTCAGCTCCCTCTGGTAGCCTGCAAGAGAAACACAGCTGTATGAACGCGCTAGAGCCGTCTTGTGCTTAAACATCAGCTCCTTCTAGTAGCCTGTAGGTGAAACATAGATGTATGTACGGGTTATAGCCGTCGTCCGTGTGATTAAATGTCGGCTTCTTCTAGTAGCCTTCATCGCCAGATTTGTAACAATTGTTTTACAGTCAAGTTGGCCAAATATACTAACGTTTTGTCGCAAGATAAATCAGATAATACAAGAACTTGTACGTAACATTGGAAGCTCTGCTTTCCTCTATGGCTTACCGGATTTCATGAATCCCACAGCTTTCTCCTGGATTTCCGCGTCAGCTGATCGTGGTTGTGAGGTATTCCATGATGTAGATGTCAGGAGGCGAACGTTATCATGTTCTGCTCCCGCATCCGTACGGCATTTCAGCAGTCCGTCAAGATTATCTAAGGGAGCTCCCATGACGTCACCGATGATGGACACCCGTGCACGACCCGAATCTGTGGTGAGAAAATGTGTATGACGTCACTGCTATAGACAGATCATCGGTACAAAATCTCAGCTTGGCCTATGCACATTATCTAAAAACTAATATTGAATTCAGGAATTGAAATCGATAATGTCATTTTTGCTCGATTTAAATATTGTTTTATAAATATATGAACTACCCGTATAATTATTTACCGGGTACTAGGTCTCGGATGGTAGCATTAGATCCATGACGTCGAGAGAAAGGTTCCCCGTCGTCCGGGCAGACGAACCAGTTAATGGAGTAGGACTTCTCTACGCCCTCCGCCTCCACCAGCAGTGGCTGCGTGATCGCATCGCGGACTCCTGTGACTGTGCTCATGACAGCACCGCTTGACAGATGGCGCTACCTGAGTCAGCCAGTCATGGCGTGTACCGTGATGTTGACGTCGCCTAGCTCTCGGGTTGAATCATGAACCTAACGCGAGACAGTATCGATTAAATACATGTTCAAAACTGTCTTGTCCTAGCTTACTCAAATTATCGGCGTTGATGTTTTAGTGTTATATGATATTATTATAGTGGCATATTGGAATAGAATGTCAATGAATCACACGAATCACCACGAGGCAAAGATATTATCACATAAAAAACAAGGTCAGCGACGTACATATATGGTTTACTGACATATATGTCGACAGTAATATTCGAATAGGCATGATAAATTGACGCACTAGTTGTGATAAACAACCAACACAATGAACTATTTATGATTGAGCTATATGGCTTATGATGAGTCCAAGATTATAAAGTTGCTACTAATAGTATATGTGCCATTTTCACGCATCTTACGCTGTGAGTGGCTGATCTGCTTCCACATACACATATCTCAGCCTCGCTTCAATCAATGATGTCAACGCGACCGACGACCGATTCATCGAGAGTGAGCGAAATCTGAGCAGAAATATTTAAACAACGTCATTAATCATGCGAGACTGGTTATCATTGCTTTAATTACTACAATGACTTGCCACGAATCATATTGTTATTACATCGCGCGAGCTTATCATTGGCATGGGAATCTTGACATGCTTCTCATGCATTTACGTATACGGTGCAATGCTGACATTGCCCGATATCATTAATATTCACCACACTATAAGTGTATATCAGGAGTGAATAATAGAGATAGAGAAAGAGATCATCCTATTATTCACTCCTGGTTATATTTTTTCCTTACTATTATATACACTACGCTATACGGGCAGATACTGACGTGGCATCGTCACAGGATGAGGGAGCGTATAGTAGCTGCAACTCTATACTCACCGCCAGACATTCGAGAGGTAGTTAAAGACGGACACGATGAGCGGCACCTTCTCCCGCGGATGACGAGTAGAGGCAGTGTGTAGGAGACGAAGACGGCTGGAAGGCGCGTAGAGAGAACTGGCGGGGAGATCCGAGTCCCGTCTCCTCACTCGTGCAGAGCCGCCCCACCCAGTCCGTGATCGTGTCCGGCACCTCGGTACGAACTAAGCAGCTCGCCGCTGTCACTGTCAGAGTAAAGCGTACGTAAAGTCAAGTAAGACCACATGACTGACTTCTCAACGGACAGTGAGCAACTAGGCATAGCAGATTGAGAAATCTTTTCACAATCATCATGTACATCTTCACGTATTACACGGCTTAAAGACATAATCATGCTACTGCATGGGTACAGCATAAAGAATAGTATTGTTGCTTTAAGGAAGGTAATAAGGAAAATTAGATGAGCGACCTTTACTCAACAAGCCAAATGACGTACGCGACACACCGGGTGTCATTAAGTTAAAGTTAAATCTTTCCCGCGCCTATGTATAGGCGCATAGGGCGGTGCCTATCTCCGTTTCCGTAACCCTGAGGCCCTGCATGCAGCTGCTTTCACAGTAAATGCTAGCAGTAGGGGGTTAGTCCACTGTAGCACTGCGAGTTAACTTGCCACACCGGGTTCACTACCGCAATTACATTGTTAGATTTACATCTGATCACATGAGGTACTTAATTATCCTCATTAGTCTCACGTGACGATGTAATAAGTAATAGTAATATGAAGTAAGTAATAGGTCTTCCATCGATACCGTCGTGATGTTAGGGCAAGGCCCGCAACGTCATGCCGTAAACAACCCCTTTATGCAGAAACCAAATCGTCAGCGTATATTAGCGCAGATCCTAATACTATACCAGGAGCGAGAAGGAAATATGATTTGAATGAAATATAATATGATAAATAACATTATTCATATTATTTGGCATTACATACCTGACTCTTTCAAGCGTCCATAGCCACGTCTCTGGGAAGAAGGTTCTTATGTCAGGCGTAGATGGCGCTTCTGTGGGTCTTCAATAAACTCGTCTGTGGTTGTGGGAAATGAGGTGGTCGTGCGAAATGCGGTGGCCGTCGTAAAGTAGGTTGCGGTGCAAAGCTAGTACGTCTAATAGATCTCCCTAAAAGCTCTGGGCCAGGAGCTACAGAACACAAACAAATGGAAAGTAATATTCTGGATTAATTAACAGCCTCAACGTTATTGAAATGACTGATTTAATGATATTATCAAGTGAAATCTCATTTAAATGTTTCCGATATTTTCTCACAAACACTTCGTCCCATGTTGTCTTATATGCTATATATACCGAAACGACGTAGGTAGATAAAGCGTGGCTCAGGCTTGCACGGTCTCGGCATCAACGTTCATGTCTGACATGACCAATAATCCAGATCCTGTGTAACAAAAAAAAGAGAGTAAATAGCAGTGACAGAATGACCGTGAATATAAACATTATATCGAGCAAATAATGTTCATTTGACCCGGAGTTACTTGAGCATATAATGAAAGTAAAATAATGATAATTTATTAAGAAATGTAGCAAGCAAAATATTTGCATATTTGTGTCATGAATTTGATGTTATTGCGGCACAAAGTAGTATATTGGGATAAGTAAGGCTTTGGTTAGCAGTGCACGATACGTATTTTTTAACAAGGGATATTATTAGACATGTTTATGATGCATAGATATAGTTATCAACATAAATACAATAATTATAGCTGCAGAGAAGACAACACCAGCTGTTGATGTGGAGCACGAACCTGGAATGCCTGCCTTGAGTCCACATAATCAGTGTGCTTCCATGTGTAACTGGCCGGGTAACGATGAAAAGGTGGGATGGTCGTGAAGTGCAGGCCTAGACCACCCGCAGATACTCGGGCAGGTATGGGCGGAACTGTAACAACGCAGTAAAATCTATGATTTCCGATAGAGTTTACTATAGGACTAATACCAGAAATAGCAGACACTTATGAATTGGGTAATAAAACCACATCGCTAATTGCTGGCGTTTATGAGTACCACACCAATTCAATGTAATTGTTGCTACCTACACTATACTCAAGTACACAGTATGTGTACTCTCTCGTTCTCTCTTGCTCTCTCTCTCTCTCTCTATCTCTCTATTATCTCTCTCTCTATCTCTCTCCTCTCTCTCTCTCTCCTCTCTCTCTCTCTCTTCTCTTCTCTCTCTCTTCTCTCTCTCTCTCTCTCTCTCTCTCTCTCTCTCTCTCTCTCTCTCTCTCTCTCTCTCTCTCTCTCTCTCTCTCTCTCTCTCTCTCTCTATCTCTTTCTTATTAAGTCCCATGCCTATACGTCTTGACAAGACATAAACCATGAATGCCAGTGTATGAATGTCGGTGTACTATTACCTTGTATCGATCCAGGTTTACCATGTCTACTTGTGCAATAATCTTTGAAGCTGTAGCGTGTACGGTAATTTGGTATTCCATCTTTTAATTTTGCAAAAACCTGAAAAAAAGCCCGACGCAATTAAATATTTATACTCAACTTTACTAGTTTTAATTATAGCTGTGATTATTTAGCACTATACCTGATCATATGAGACTCAACATTTAAGGATAAATACATCTCGCTTTTGAATCGTATTGTAATGTAATATCAATGCACTTGGGTGATTGTTTGTGACATTTGCTTGGAGACAGGGGGATTTGAAAATTATCAATAGATATAGGCACGTACGTACTAACGCACTCATGTACGTACGCGCACACTCACGTAGTCAATCACTCACACACGCACGCATGCAAGCACGCACGCACGTACGCACACGCGCAAACACGCAATCTAGCATGCAAACGTCCACGCTCGTATGCGCACAGACGCAGCACATTGTTTCTGCTTCGTAGACTTCTACTCATCCACACGTCGCCCCCTCTAGCGGTCTTACCGTAGCAGGTGTAATAGGGTTGCTGTCTGCCAGCAGTGTGACGCTCTTGTCGACAACACCAACGGCACAGAGGGAGCGTGGGCTGGCTCGTATCTGCAGCATAGCTTCTGAACCTGGTGTCTGCTCTCGCTCTGCGAAGCTGATCGACACCTGCACAAATAATCGTCATGACAACGTGCTGCACGTGGCGTACTGCTTGGACATCGCGATGCCCACGCGTGCGCATTAGCGTCACCTGGTGGAGAATTCAATCTAATGCTTCATAACGTATTGTGGAAATATTTCAACGAGTCATATTTTGCACGTGGATTATTTATTGATGATGCGCATCTGCCTACCTTGTTGCGGAGGCATTTCTCTACGTCTATTTCTCTGCTGTCGGCAATTATCTCCTTCGTGGCATCGTTGCCGCTGCCTTGGACTACGTGGAAGACGAGCAGTTTAATCTGTGGCGCCATCTCGTGAGTGACGTTGAACTCCAGATTGAAGCTTGCAACGCCTCGGGATCCACCGAGTTGTCGCTGGGCCTTTTTCAGTAATACTGCCAAACAAACGACAGGTAGACCTAAGTGTCATTATTTTCCCCAACAATAAGTGACAAGTAATAACATGAGAACACGTGATATGACACAGTGACACGTACTGTACGCCAATCAATGAATATTACCAAACAAGTTCGATGCGCTTCCGTCATCTGCTGTTTCTGTCGAAGCATACTGCAATTCAGTAAGAGTTTGTTCCGTCGTTCCCACATCTATGATCTTGTTATTTGCGCCGACCTGCAGTTGGAGAATGAACATGTCAACAGGGTATGATAACCGTGCCATTTGGCGTATAATAAATTATGTTTCGAATGCGACTAATAGTTCTAGCTTGTGATAACCCTAACAAATGTTCTGATCGGTAAGGCTTGTGTGGATACCTTGTAGTAGAACTGACGTGTTCCGGGTTTATTGACCGTGTATGTGATCCTGACACTCCCTATCTCTCCGCAGCGCATCACACCCGTGGCCGCCTCAATCTGTAGGAACTGCTTTGACGTGGAGAACCATCCTCGCACCCTCTTGCTTGTTTGGACTCCACCAGCATCGACAGTCTTTGCCTGTTCGGAGTGAAACATGTTTAAGTTGACAACTTCGTGTGCACTTACATACACAAGTCGAGCCAAACAGGTAGCAAGAAATTATACTAGGATGTACTATAGGCATCATTATTTACACATATATTACAAATCTATAATATAAGACACTCACCACAAGATAAATGCTTTCTATTTCCTTTCCGATTTCGATGGTAAATGTAGCGATTCCATTGGCAGCAGTGGGTGAGACTTGATTAGGCTGGTTACCACTTAGTTCAATTAGGATACCGGCAGCTGGTTTGCCATCAGGTTGCGTTGCCACTACCTGTAAGTTGTTGCGGAGGTTATTTCAAATTCCTCACGATATGAGTACGTGCGAACTGGGACAGTAAAAGATCTGCTATTACGCAAATAGATGTCCATAGGGTTTATATTGCGAGATTTTGCGACTATAGTATATTGTAATGGAAGAGAAGTGGCATTACCTCTGCAACGTAAGGTATCGAACCTCTGAAATAGTCTCTACCGCGAATTTGCAGGTTCAGTCGATCTAGGACCAGCGATGCGCTTTCCTCTCCAGTCAGAGTTACATCTGGAAAGATACAACATCAATTAATCAAAGCGAACATCAATCAAATCACTAAACAAGTCCTCGTAATGCATTTGTTTTATCATTTAGCTTTACATGACATTTGACATGTGAATAGACTACTATGTGTGAGTGGCAGCAGGGACAAACCTGTGTCAAGCTCGGTAACGTTGGCGCTGAACGTCAGCTGTGCATTATACCAGCGTCCGGAGGAATACTCCCTGTCCTCGATGGGCAACTCTGATATGTCCACGTCAAATTCCCGGCATCCGTCTTGCAACTGAGAAGGAAATCCAAGCAAGCATTGAAATTCGATGCAAACAGGCTGCCAGTTGAGGTCCATAGACTCTGTTAGGCCGTGACAGCTTACATTATTACAATGAATATTATAAGATACTTAGATTTTATTTGTGTTGATATCTGAAATTTGTATGTGTGTGTATGTATATACACAATAGTATTATTTCACTATCTTATTAGTATTATCACACGCGGCGATCAACGATATTACTTACATCGAGTGGACGCGCATCTACGCATGGCGGTTCAACGCCACCAGTGCTGTAACTAAGTCGTTTCTCGTCAGGGCGTAGACAAACGCTCAAAACCGCTTCGCCTTCTACTGCTTTCCCATAGGTATACCTGAGGAGCACACCAAGTCAGCTAGTTAGTATCCAGTATGGCTCATGGTGTGTATTTCAAAACAACTTTGAATTAGTGATCAAAGTGAATATGTAGAAACCCTGATAATGTCATGAGCATAGCTTGCAGGAGTGAGAGCATGAGTCTACCTTGCACAGACGGTGGCGGACACCCGCGTCACTGTTCTCGGAATCTTCTTTGACGGGAATGCAACGGTGACATCGTACTTTGGGAGAACTGCATGGAAATGAGAAAATGTCGATTAGAAATGAACAAACAAACATACAGATGGTTGACCGGTATATGCAAAGAGAAAAGGCAGATCATTAAAACGTCCTATTTGTGATAGTGTGATGGTTGTGGAATGACAACACAACAAGCGGTATATCTTTAATACAAATGAATGTATATTCGAAGCATCAACGTGGACAACATAACATGGATACTTGTGTGCATGCTGGCTAGCAGGCAACTTCTATAAAACAAGAGAGCTTAGTTCGGCCGGGCCTCAGTTAGGTGGCGCCATCTGGCGAATACAAAAGAGCTCATTCGATGACTGTGACACTATTGGCAAGAGAAAGCACAAGAGCTAACTCACCATATTCTAACACCTTGAATTGCTTCTTCGTCACACCATCCTCGCTGGTGACTACGATCTCCCAGGTTCCTAGCGGTGGTTCTTTCGATAGATCCAAATCTAGAGTGGCGATACCTACAACGATGGACAACACGCAGGGTTTATACGAGAACATCATGTTGACTCATAGCTTCCTAGCCTCGCTTATCCTACTATCAGTATATACATGTGTCATACAGAATATTTATTATAAAGAAACTCTTTGGATGAAATTGTCTTTATAGTTGTAGTCGAGTCAATTCATATTTTTCATAAATCATATATATACCTCCATCTGTCACGACGTCAAGCCACTGCGCAATTCGAGTGCCAGAAGGGTTATTGATCCATACCTTGCTTATCTGTCAAAACAATTACAATGATCGTGATGTAGGCCCTACACTTTATCATGGACTGATATCGGACGACATACATTTTTTTACAAAGATCGCACGAATGAAGTATTAATTACATCAAGTAAAAATAATATTTAAAAAAAAGAACATTATTTACTCCCGGTAACAATGATTAACCATTGCAAACGTTTATTAGTATAAATATACTTACCGGTTCAGTTATGGGCTTCAACTCAGATGATAGACGCAGAATGCGGAATTGCACTGAAATGTAGAATTGGTAACTCTATCAACGTTGTCACATTCTTTCGTTACCTTTTGAATGACGTTTGGTGACGTCAATAAATCGTGATTAGGAATGTCTGAACGTTTTACCCTAATCCTTCGTCATCAGCACGTGACCATAGTAAAACCAATATGTAATTGCATGTATTTTCTTAAATTCAGGATGCATCGCCCGTAAACATACGCTGGTGTTTGCCATACACGTTGCATTAGTCATAGCGAGATAAACAGCTAGGCTTTTTCTTACCTTTTTGACCAGGTTTGTACACAGGCTTGTCTGGTTCGATGAATGTTACAGGTTTAACGAATGGTCGCCTCAGGAATACTTGCTTCTGGTCGGCAACGTGGAAGTACGTCGTTTCATCTGCTCTGAACAGCAGGTAAGCAGTAGTCTCGCTCGTGTCAGGGATGGACAGATCGGCGCACAGACTGGCACCTGTTAAATACCAGAGATTATACTTAGCTTATATCAGATGTATAAACCGTACATTAATTATCGTGGGTTGTCATCTTAATTTTGAAACTCGAATGTTATCGTGCCAGAATTCATGCTAATGTATTTTAACTAGCGTTATACATATGCCATCGCGATTTCTAGCTAGGTTACTTTTAACTTGCATACTTTGCGTACTTAATCATTTTTTAATTTTCTTACGTTAAAACCGACATGGGAACAGCTAGATACAATAATGTAAACCAACAAGAGTAGGCCTACTCTTGTTGGTTTACATTATTGTATCTAGGGAACAGCGTGCGGACAGAAGATTAATAAGTTGGCAGCCACGCATCTGTTTAGATGACTTGCCATTCACATCCTGATTGTACAGGTGCGTCGATGCGATGACGTCTGGTACTGTGACGTCATTCGTGCGCTTCAGTAGGATGCTGATGTTGACGGGAGGCAACTGGAAGTCGGCCTTGATAAAGTCCATGCATATCTGCTCCGCCTGTCCGATGCTCATGTACTGTGGCGCCACCAGGATGAAGTTACTGCGAGAAGTAATGACAATTATTCTCTACGCCCTCCGCCTCCACCAGCAGTGGCTGCGTGATCGCATCGCGGACTCCTGTGACTGTGCTCATGACGGCACCGGCTCGACAGATGGCGCTACCTGAGTCAGCAGTCATGGCGTGTACAGTGATGTTGACGTCGCCTAGCTCTCGGGGTTGAATCATGAACCTAACGCGAGACAGTATCGATTAAATACATGCTCAAATCTGTCATGTCCTTGACTCAAATTATCGCGTTGATGTTTTAGTGTTATATGATATTATTATAGTGGCATGTTGGAATAGAATGTCAATGAATCACACGAATCAACCACGAGGCAAAGATATTATCACATAAAAAACGGGTCACGACGTACATATATGGTTTACTGACATATATATATGTCGACAGTAATATTCGAATAGCATGATAATTGACGCACTAGTTGTGATAAACAACCAACACAATGAACTATTTATGATTGAGCTATATGGCTTATGTGAGTCCAAGATTATAAAGTTCTACTAATATTATATATGCCATTTTCACGCATCTTACCTGTGAGTGGCTGATCTGCTTCCACATACACATATCTCAGCCTCGCTTCCGTCAATGATGTCAAACGCGACCGATTCATCGAGAGTGAGCGAAATCTGAGCGGAAATATTTAAACGACGTCATAATCATGCGAGACTGGTTATCAATTGCTTTAATTACTACAGTGACTTGCCACGAATCAATATTGTTAATTACATCCCAGGCTTATCATTGGCACGGGAATTTATTTTATAATAAATTTTCATACACCACGATTTCTTGACATATGCTCTCATACATTTACGTATACGGTGCAATGCTGACATTGCCCGATATATGAATATTCACCACACTATATAGTTATATCAAGAGTGAATAATAGTGAGATAGAGAAAGAGATAATCTTTATTATTCACTCCTGGTTATATTTTTCCTTACTATTATATACACTACGCTATACGGGCAGACTGACGTGCATGTCACGGGATGAGGGAGCGTATAGTAGCTACAACTCTATACTCACCGCCAGACATTCGGAGAGATAGTTAAAGACGGACACGATGAGCGGCACCTTCTCCCCGCGAATGACAGAGTAAGGCAGTGTGTAGGAGACGAAGAACGGCTGGAAGGCGCGCAGAGAGAACGGCGGGGAGATGCCGAGTCCCGTCTCCTCACTCGTGCAGAAGCCGCCTCCCACCCAGTCCGTGATCGTGTCCGGCACCTCGGTACGAACTAGCAGCTCGCCGCTGTCACTGTCAGAGTAAAGCGTACGTAAAGTCAAGTAAGACCACATGACTGACTTCTCAACGGACAGTGAGCAATCCAGGCACACAATCGTGACTAAAAGTAGCCAGAGTTCTAGGAACGCCGATGCGCGTCTGTCTACATAGCCGTGACCAGGAAACAGACGATTAATGATCGACGCGCATTAGTTCTTTCCGTTTCTCGTTTATCTAAAGCGATTCGTGATCCAATTTCTTAACAAAATTTGCGTTCGCTTATTTTCTCTGTTGACGGGTTCCTAGTTGTTTTGTGTTCGCATGCGTTCACCGCATAGACGACATAACAATAACTGCACGGCTTGGTTCGGCTGCAAGTTCTCTCGTTAATATCCGGGACCTGTAAACTGCCAACGCTGTTTATACAGGGCCGTACGCTGAGAAAATTCCCAGGGGTGCAGTGGCGGATCCAGGATTTCAAGGAGGGCGTGAGAAACAGGTGGGGGTCTGGAGGTTTTCTTCCACAGAAAATGTTGACAATGTATATCGCAGGAGATGGTATTTGAGGCACGTTTGAGTTCATGCACAGCCTTCATTCTGACTACAACAATTCTCTTTTAGTAGAATAATTTTTTTTTTAATTTTGCTTTAAAATTTAGGGCTGCCCCCTTGCCCCCTCCCCCCGCAGGCTACGGCCCTCATATAAGAGACATGCTGCCATCTGCTATCTCACCTGAAGTGACAGCCAAGGAAATGACTACGACGTAGAGAGAGCATACATCACGCACAGTGAAAGCGGCAGTGACTGAATATATACAAAAAATACAGAAATTACTTGCAGAACCGGATCTTGGATCGACAGGCTCTATATATATGACCTGTCGACGCCTGCTGCCTCAGTCGACGTGATCGCGAAGAGCAGTAGACCATTGCAGCATCACAGAACAGCAAACACAGAAGAGAGCAGCCCGCACAGATATAGTAGGAGAGAAGTATATCTATATACATATAATAATGCGCGGGTGTTTAGCTAGGGCGATGGCCCTTGCGGCATTAGTGGCTTGGGTCGGTGCAGAGCTTAATGACTACAGACCGGCCATCTCTATGTGTCAGCCGTCATCGTCCGACCCTAGGAAGGAGGTGTTGTGGTGAGTTAGCATGGGCAGGGTGGGTGCAGTAAACAGAATGTGGAGAGCGCGAGCGGATCTTATCATATGGGAAACATTAATGCGCTCATTCTCTTCACATAATAGTTCTCGAATTTGATCTTGCGTACAAAATACAAACTGTAGCTGGAATTTATCTAGATGCATTTGTCCCGGGAAATCCACCAGAAACTATGATATACCGTGCCACATTCCTTCTGCCACGAGGGTCAACATTCCGTGTGACGTATAATTTCTGCGAAAATAGGCACGGTCGGTATAGTCGGTGCACGCGTGCCAATATGCCACGGTGCCACTACCCAATATGTCGATAAAAGAGCGCGCTCTTTTATCGACATATTGGGTAGTCCGTAAACTGACCACTGACCGTGGTTTCTTCTCGCAGTAACTTCATCCTGGTGGCGCCACAGTACATGAGCATCGGACAGGCGGAGCAGATATGTATGGACTTCATCAAGGCCGACTTCCAGTTGCCTCCCGTCAACATCAGCATCCTATTGAAGCGCACGAATGACGTCACAGTACCAGATGTCATCGCATCGACGCACCTGTACAATCAGGATGTGAATGGTAATTAAGTCATCTAAACAGACGCGTGGCTGCCAACTATTAATGTTCTCTCCGCACGCTGTTTATTTGTCGGTTAGAATATAGGAAACTAGAGCACTCGGAGAGCACAGACCTCCGCCAAGGCAGCTGAATTCTCTCAATGTGAAATTTTTTATTAATTAATTAAGTGGAAAAATTAATTAATTAATTAAATAATTAATTGGATCCGGATTAGTGCGAGCGTGAAGGTGGGGGAAGACTGTGGTTGCCCCTTAGCCTGTGGTTGCGTGTTTGTAAGTCTATAGCCAGCGCACCTAGCGGAAGTGAACTGAAACGTGCATGTTAACAAACCCACAAACCCACATCCACACAAACCAACACTCAAACACACGCCGGTGAAAACATAACCCTCGCCAAGCCCCTGGCGGAGATAAATATAAACAACTAGAAATAAGGAAATTCAAGACTGCCTATAATTAGCATCATCTTATTATTATAAATAATGCATATACTTAGGTTGGTACATCGATTGGAAAAATCTAACAACATTTACAGTTGATGTTCATGTTTCACTGGTGCACATAGAAATTAGGAAGGCATGTAATTTACGCTATCTAAACAGTGAAATCAACGCATGTTAGCATAAAACCTGTGATTGCAGAACCCCAACGGCGCAAAATGCAGAAGTCAGCCCACGAGTTATACATCTGATATAAGCTAATTAAGTAATCTCTGATATTTTACAGGCGCCAGTCTGTGCGCCGATCTGTCCATCCCTGACACGAGCGAGACTACTGCTTACCTGCTGTTCAGAGCAGACGAAATGACGTACTTCCACGTGGCCGACCAGAAGCAAGTATTCCTGAGGCGACCATTCGTTAAACCGGTAACATTCATCGAACCAGACAAGCCTGTCTACAAACCGGGTCAAAAAGGTAAGAAAGAGCCTAGCTGTTTATCTCGCTATGACCAATGCAGCGTGTATGGCAAACACCAGCGTATGTTCACGGACGATGAATCCAGCATTTCAGAAAATACACGCGATTACATATTGGTTTCACTAAGGTCACGTGCTGATGACGAAAGATCGATGTAATAAAGTGATTAAAGTGATCAACCTTTCTTAATAACGATCTACGTCTGCCGTCACCAAACGTAATTCTATAGGAAATACTGAAGAGAAACAAATCGACAGCAATAATAGAAACATACATTATTATTTTCAGTGCAATTCCGTATTCTCAGCTTATCATCTGACTTGAAGCCCATAAGTGAACCGGTAAGCAATTGTCCTAGAGCATGCCTTAAATGGTGAATCAGTGTAATTAAACGTCGTTTGATGCAACCTTTGTAAAAATGTGCACTGCTCGATATCACCCAATAATATTGCTTTGTTTGTTCGCCGTTAAACTTATTAGTATTTAAACGCGCCACAGTTGTTGAGGTGGCTGCTGTCGTCGTCATTGTCGCCCATGAGTGTACTAGTGTGGACGAGTATGCGAATTCACGGCTTATTGTTCTAATGTTTACACATGACTGCATGTTTTGACAGATAAGCAAGGTATGGATCAAGAACCCTTCTGGCACGCGAATTGCACAGTGGCTTGACGTCGTAACAGATGGAGGTATATATGATTTATAAAACAGACAGCTAACTCTACTTAAAACAATAAAGACAATACTTTCCGTGAATTTCCTCAAAGTAAATAATTCGTTGTAAACCATATTGCGTTTAGAAACTGATGATAGCAGAAGTATGGACTGCTAGGAGGCTGTGAATGCGAATTCTGCTTTTGTATTAACAGCTGTTGTCTATCATTGTAGGCATGACCAGTCTAGATTTGGATCTATCGAAAGAGCCGCCGCTAGGAACCTGGGAGATCGTAGTCACCACCGAGGATGGTGTGACGAAGAAGAAATTCCAGGTGTTAGAATATGGTGAGTAGGTTATGCTAATAACAATAGGGAAATTCAATTACGTGGTTTTTTCGCTTTGCAAATACCGTTCGACCATCCGTACGTTTGTTTGTTCATTTCTAATCGACATTTTTTTATTTCCATGCAGTTCTCCCAAAGTACGATGTCACCGTTGCATTCCCGTCAAAGAAGATTCCGAGAACAGTGACGCGGGTGTCCGCCACCGTCTGTGCAAGGTATAAACTCATGCTCTCACTCCTGCAAGCTATGCGCATGACATTATCAGGGTTACAAAATGTTCACTTTGATCACTAATTCAAAGTTGTATGGAAATACACACCATGAGACGTACTGGATACTAACTAGCTGACTTGGTGTGCTCCTCAGGTATACCTATGGGAAAGCAGTAGAAGGCGAAGCGGTTCTGAGCGTTTGTCTACGCCCTGACGACAAACAACTTGGTTACAGCACCGGTGGCGTTGAACCGCCATGCGTAGATGCGCGTCCACTCGACGTAAGTAATATCGTTGATCGCAGCGTGTGATGATAATACTAATAAGATAGTGAAATAATACTATTGTGTATATACATACACACACATACAAATTTCAGATATCTACACAAATAAAATCTGAATATCTTATAATATTCATTGTAATAATGTAAGCGGTCACGGCCTAACAGAGTCTATGAACCTGAACTCACAGAAGGTTTGCGTCGAATTTCAATGCTTGCTTGGATTTCCTTCTCAGTTGCAAGACGGATGCCGGGAATTTGACGTGGACATATCAGAGTTGCCCATCGAGGACAGGGAGTATTCCTCCGGACGCTGGTATAATGCACAGCTGACGTTCAGCGCCAACGTTACCGAGCTTGACACAGGTTTGTCCCTGCTGCCACTCACACACAGTAGTCTATTCACATGTCAAATGTTATGTGTAAAGCTAAATAATAAAGCAGATGGTTTACGAGGTCGTGTTTATGGCATGGTAAATAATTGATGTTGTATCTCTCCAGATGTAACTCTGACTGGAGAGGAAAGCGCATCGCTGGTCGTAGATCGACTGAACCTGCAAATTCGCGGTAGAGACTATTTCAGAGGATCGATACCTTACGTTGCAGAGGTAATGCCACTTCTCTTCCATTACAATATACTCATCGCAATATCTCGCAATATAAAACGTACGCATTTTTTATTTGCCTAATATCAGTGTGCAATATTGCATTTCATTTTGACATTTTACCATTCCTGCACACTCGTCACCATCTTGTCAGGAATTTGAAATAACCTCCGCAACAACTTACAGGTAGTGGCAACTCGAGCTGATGGCAAACCAGCTGCAGGTATCCGAATTGAACTAAGCGGTAATCAGCATAAGCATGTGTCGCTCACTGCTGCCAACGGAATCGCCACCTTTACTGTCGAAATCGGAAAAGAACTAGAAAGCATTTATCTTGCGGTGAGTGACTTTTCTTATTGACACGAATGATATTTATAACATGTCGCGGTTACATAACTTCTTGTTATGTCGTAACGCTTCATGTATGTGAGTGCACACGCATGTGTCAGCATAAACATTCTTCACTCTGAACAGGCAAGAACTCTCGATAAAATACAAGCATTCCAAACAACCAAGAGGGTGCAAGGATGGTTCTCCACGTCAGAGCAGTTCCTACAGATTGAGGCGGCCACGGCTGTGATGCGCTGCGGAGAGATGGGGAGTGTCAGGATCACATACACGGTCAACAAACCCGGAACACGTCAGTTCTACTACAAGGTATCCACACAAGCCTTAACAATCAGAGCATTTGTTAGGGTTATCACAAGCTAGAACTATTAGTCGCATTCGAAACATAATCTATTATACGCCAAACGGCCCGGTTATCATACCCTGGTGACATGTTCATTCTCCAACTGCAGGTCGGCGCAAATAACAAAATCATAGATGTGGGAACGACAGAACAAACTCTTACTGCATTGCAGTATGCGTCAACGCAAGCAGCAGATGACAGAAAAACATCGAACTTGTTTGGTAATATTCATTGATTGGCGTACAGTGTCACTGTGTCATATCACGTGTTCTAATGTTATTACTTGTCACTTATTGTTGGGGAAAATAATGACACTTTGGTCTTTCTGTCGTTCGTTTGGCAGTATTACTGAAAAACGCCCAGATCGGTGAATCCCGAGGCGTTGCAAGCTTCAATCTGGAGTTCAACGTCACTCACGAGATGGCGCCACAGATTAAACTGCTCGTCTTCCACGTAGTCCAAGGCAGCGGCAACGATGCCACGAAGGAGATAATTGCCGACAGCAGAGAAATAGACGTAGAGAAATGCCTCCGCAACAAGGTAGGCAGATGCGCATCTCCAATAAATAATCCACGTGCTAAATATGACTCGTTGAAATATTTCCACAATACGTTATGAAGCATTAGATTGAATTCTCCACCAGGCGACGTTAATGCGCACGCGTGGGCATCACGATGTCCCAGCAGTACGCCACGTGCAGCACGTTGTCATGACGATTATTTGTGCAGGTGTCGATCAGCTTCGCAGAGCGAGAGCAGACTCCAGGTTCGGAAGCTACGCTGCAGATACGAGCCAGCCCACGCTCCCTCTGTGCCGTCGGTGTCGTCGACAAGAGCGTTACACTGCTGGCAGACAGCAACCCTATTACACCAGCTACGGTAAGACCGCCAGAGGTGGCAACGTGTGGATGAGTAGAAGTCTACGAAGCAGAAACAACGTGCTGCGTCCATACGTGTATATGCGCGCGCGTGCGTGCTTGTGTACGTGTGGTTATTTTTTTACTTACGAGCCGATATCTCAGAGGGGTGAGAAATGAGACGAAGGTGCTGAATTTTTAAACTGACATTCATGCTCGACCGTCATATTTTCTTCATTTTGTCCATTGCACCCCATGCGTTGGCTATCCTTATGAATGTCCAACTCTGTACTTTCCAGATAATCACCCACATATTTAAAACTCTGTACCATCCCTACTTCATCCCCTTTCACCAGTTTAGTGTCAGAGATATCCTCCTGGTTGAACGCCATGAATTTAGTTTTTCTTGCATTGAGACGGATCCCTACTACAGCAGAAGACTCCTACAATCAGTGAAGAAGTTCGTGAGCCTCTTGTATTTCATTTAGTATAATAAATAAAACTTGATATAGCAAATGCACGTTCACTTACCCTGCTTTTCAGGTATTCGCAAAACTGAAAGAGGGCATTCAATCTTACAATACCTACTATAGCTTCGAGGAATACTGCACAAGTAAGCACGGAGAACCGGGACCGGTAAAACGTAAGTTCTTGTATTTTTGATATCTCTAAATTCTTATCTCTTAGGACTAGGTGTCTGCTAGTAAGAGACTAGAGGCATATTCTCTCTCCCCCCCTCTCTCTCTCTCTCTCTCTCCCTCTCTCTTGCGTGCGTTTGTGTGTGCTAGTGTGTGTGTGTGTGTGTGTGTGTGTGTGTGTGTGTGTGTGTGTGTGTGTGTGTGTGTGTGTGTGTGTGTGCGTCTGCGTACGTGCGTGCGCCAACCTGCCTTTGCACTTGAGCTTACATGCGCAATATGTAACAAACTTGTCGCTCTGCCAATAGCTTTTCTGGCGCATGCAATCCAAAGCTATCCGGTGACAAGTGTTACGCTTGTGTGATGCGTTTATAATTCATTACCTTCCTCATCGATACGGATTTTCTCATCTATTATTTCGTAGCAGTTCGCTATGTGTGTATTGTGTTAATATTGCTATTGTGAGCACGTGTTACACGGTGCTACATCTCTCATCCGCACCACTTATCATTTGCTTCTCGTCCCACACCCCTCCCCCCCCGTAGCCCTGCCAATAACTACACTTGTTTTTAAACTCGTTCATTTGTTAAGAATATTTTTTCTCTGCTATTAAAATTAACGCTTAGTTCGTTTTCTCTGGCTGTAATGAGTTTGAAGGCTCGCTCGTATCGCAACTATACTAATTACCAGAGTAATTAGATGGACTGTGAACGCTTGTTCGCGCACATTGTAATTAAACTTATTCAACAATTACTACGTCTGGTCTCTTCTTTAGTCTCAAGCCAATGGATGTTGCTGATGATGGAACGATATGCCACACACACACGCTCACACGCACACACACACACACGCTCACACACACGCGCGCACACACACACACACACACACACACACACACACACACACACACACACACACA